ACCATGATTTTAGCAGTTAATATCAACTCGCGTCCCCCTCAATAAACACTTCATCTCCTCCTGCATCCCACTACCCAAGTAACCCCTCCACCCAAAAAAAAAGAAAAATCTGTCTTCGGAGTTCTTTTACCTGTTTCCCCTCACTTTTGGCAGTTAGAATCTTCCAAAGTTTCATCTATTTCGTGTCATTACACTACACCTTACAATCCTGCTATCTGAAAAATCCCAAAAAGCAAAGAAAAATAAAATAAAAGAAATCCGTCCCTGGAGTTATTTGACCTGTTTTCCATCATTTGACTGTTAAAATCTCCCAAAGCTTCCTCCATTTCGTGTCTTATACACTACACCTAAGATCCATACATTGTCAAAATCAGCCCAAAAACATCCCAAACAAACTGCAACTCCATGACGGCGGCGGTGCTGGCTGTCTTACAAATGGTGGCATCACCGATCCTAAAGAAGCTCCTCGCTGATACTTCGACCTACCTTGGGGTCGACATGGCGCGTGAGCTCCATGACCTTGAAACCACCATCATGCCACAGTTCGAGCTGATGATTGAAGCAGCTGACAAGGGCAACAAAAGAACTAAGCTGGACAGATGGATCCAAGACCTCAAACAAGCCTTCTTCAAGGCAGAAGACTTGCTGGATGATCATGAGTACAGCCGCCTTGAGCGCAAATCAAAGAGCAGGAAGGATCCCTTGCCACCGCATTCCTCCACCGGCAGCACTATTCTGAAGCCTCTCCATGCTGTGTCCAATCGGTTGTCCAATCTGTCCTCCAACAATAGGAAGCTAATTCGCCAGCTGAATGAACTGAAGGCCATTCTGGCGAAAGGCAAGGAATTACGTGATCTTCTTTGCTTATCAGCTGGTAACACTGCAGAGGACCCTGTTGTACAAGCAGCCGTTGTTCCTCTGGTCACATCAATTCCACCTTCAAAAGTAATAGGTCGTGACAAGGATCGCGACAATATAATTGACCTTCTTACAAAGCCGGTTGGTGTTGAGGCTGATTCAGCTATACATTCGGGGTTGGCTATTGTTGGAGCAGGAGGCATGGGGAAATCCACCTTGGCACAATATGTTTACAATGATGAGAGGATAAAAAAACATTTTGATGCCAGGATGTGGGTGTGCATCTCACGCAGACTTGATGTCAAACGTCATACACGGGAGATTATTGAATCTGCGGTAAAAGGCGGATGCCCACATGTTGAGAATCTTGATACTCTCCAGTGCAAATTAAGGGACATATTGCAAGACTCACAGAAATTCCTGCTTGTCCTGGATGATGTCTGGTTTGGAAAATCTGACGAGGTGGAATGGGAGCAACTCCTGACTCCTTTAGTTTCTCAGCAGACTGGAAGCAAAGTTTTGATAACTTCTCGTTCGAATATACTTCCAGCTTCTCTTTACTGCAACAAGATTGTTCCATTGGAGAACATGGAAGATGCCAAGTTCTTGGCACTCTTCCAAAACCATGCCTTTTCTGGAGGAGAAATCGGAGAACATAGTTTGCGTCAGAAGCTAGAAGTGATTGCAGAGAAGCTTGCTACCAGATTGGGACGATCTCCTTTGGCAGCAAAAACTGTGGGTTTACAGCTCAGCAGGAAAAAGGATATCAGTTCATGGAAAGATGCTCTAAAGAAGGACAACTTAAGTGATCCCACGAAAGCTCTGTTGTGGAGTTATGATAAGTTAGATCCACGTCTGCAGAGGTGCTTTCTTTATTGCAGCTTATATCCAAAAGGCTATATATATGACATGAGGGAGGTGGTTCACCTGTGGATGGCAGAGGGATTTATTGATTCGTGCAACGAGAACAGAAGAGTGGAAGATACTGGAAATGATTGCTTCAGTGAGTTGGTCTCAGTTTCATTCTTTCAACCAATTGACCATAGATTACGTACATACTATGTTATGCATGATCTTATTCATGATTTGGCAGAGTCACTCTCTAAAGAGCACTGCTTCAGATTAGAAGATGACAAGGTGGCAGAAATACCATCTACTGTTCGACATTTATCTGTTCGTGTTGAGAGTATGGTACAGCATAAGCAAAGCATTTGCAAGCTACATTTGCGTACTATTATCTGCATTGACCCAGTTAAAGATGATGTAAGTGACGTTTTTAATCAGATATTGCGGAATTCCAAGTTGCGTGTACTATATCTGTCATTCTACAACAGTCGCAAGTTGCCAGAATCAATTGATGAGCTGAAGCATCTTAGGTATTTAAACATCATCTACACGTCAATTTCTGAATTGCCAAGATCATTATGTACTCTTTACCACTTACAGTTCCTTAAGTTCAGTGACAAAGTTGAAAGTTTGCCGGACAAACTATGCAATTTAAGTAAGCTGTGGTATCTTGAAGGGCACAATGTTAATCTAGCACATGATCCGTACAGGATTGGTCCGCCACAAATCCCAAACATAGGCAACCTAACTTTGCTCCAACAACTAAGTAATTTTTCTGTGCAAAAGCAGAAGGGATATGAGTTGTGGCAGCTGAGGGACATGAACGACCTTGGTGGCCTTTTAAATGTTACAAATCTTGAAAATGTCACTGCAAAGGATGAAGCTTTAGAGTTGAACCTACACCGTAAAACTCATCTTAAAAGCTTATGCCTTAACTGGAGTTATATGGATAACATAAATGTAGAGGACAGCTCACACTTAGAGATTCTGGAAGGTCCGACGCCACCGCCTCAACTTAAGGGCCTCACAATCAAAGGTTACAGATCTGCAAAATATCCAGGTTGGTTTCTTGAGGATTCATATTTTGAGAACTTGGAAACCTTTGAGCTTCTTAATTGCACTGTGTTAGAAGGCCTACCAACCAATGCAGAACTCTTTGGGAATTGCTGCTCA